GATTCCATACAAAATTTAAGTAAGGGGTAAAGTGAAAGTAAAAGTAAAGTAAAAGATAGATAAAATTAATTTCTTGAATAAGTAACTGATTAAACTGATTGAATGAATTTAAACTGAAACTGAACTGAAACTGCTTGCTCTACTAACTAAAAGAATAATAGGAATTGACCTCTTATTTATAGCTGAATAGCCATGTTGATTTTCCGAGGCTTTCCGCGATCATATGAAAAACACATGAAAGTAAATAAATAAATAAATTCCTATTGAACAGGAACAATAGGATGAATAGAAGAAGATTGTTCCAGGCCGTTATCCCCACTGAGGGGTCACCGGAACTCGGAAATCCACTCCGCGAACTGGCTAACCTGAGGCAGCGAACTGGGGAGCCTGAGGTGGCGAACTGGCGAGCCTGAGGCTACCAACTGGCTATATAGTTGACAATAGTAGTACTTTTAAAGTTTTTAATATATATATTATAAGTTTTTAAAAATCTTTTTTCCAAAGCGTCTGTTTTCTTACTAATTAATTACTGAAGTAATTTAAATAATTAAAAAAATTATTATAAATATTATAAATCTTATAAATAATAGGCTTACTGTTCTTAAACAAGCATAATATAAAAAGATATATATAAAAAATCAAAAAATATTTTATTTATTTTTATTTAATTATAATAGAATAAAAATAATTGATATTATTATATTTATAATACTAAATAAAACCTTTGATTATTTAATAAAGATTCAATATACGGTAGATTATAAAATAGATGTGTTTTTTTTATAATTTTTATAAAAATAATAGCTTATCAAACTAATTTTTAAATTCTTAATTTCCAGATATTATAAGATATAAAGATATAGAATATAGTAGATATAAAAAATTCTATTAAAAATAATATATTTTTTTAAAAATATTTTATATTATTAATAACTTCTTCTAACCGAAGTAAAATAGCAGTTTTTAAATTTATATATAGATTTTAAAAACAATTATTTTTTATTATTAATTTTAAAAAATAAAGATCTGGTAAAAAAAATTAAATATAAAATAATCTTCTGATTCTTTGCGATATGTTGTAATCTTAAGATTTAAAAAAAAATCTATTTTAAAAAAATCTATTTTAGTTTAGAACTTTAGATATTATTATAATTTATAAAAATCTAAGAAATAAAAAAAAGATTTAATAATATTTTTTAAAAATAAACTAAATAAATATAATTAACTTATAATTCTAGGACTATTCTATCAATAAGAAATATAAAAAAATAAAAATAGAAATTTTTATAAAGACTGTTTATTCTATTTTTAAATATATTTTTATATGAATATAATTTATTATATTCTAATATAAAGCTAAAATATTTACTATATTTCATTTATTCCAATAAATTTAATAAAAAATTATATTTAAAGTCCAGAATTATAAATATTTAGAACTAATTAGATTAAATATTTATAATTTTAATTTTTATATCTGAAAAAACTTTTATATAATCTATTTTAAAAAATATAATATCTAATATTAAATTAAATAATTATTAAAAAAATATATTTATTAAAAAAATAAGTAGATAGTATAGCACAGGATCTTAAATAGATTTAGATTAATAGAATATTTAGAATTATTAAAATCAAAAGAATTAAAAAGATTAATTAAATTAATAAAATGATTAAGATTATTAATATAAAAAAAGTTTATCAGATTAGATAAATAATTAAAATTATTAAAATTAAAAAATTAATTAGATTAGATATATAAATTTTTATTATAATATATATAATTTTAATAAAACTATAATTATATCTTTTTATATCTATTTTTCATTATAAAAATAATAATTTTATAAAAAATTAGAATTTATCAGTACTATCAGGAATTCTTTCTTATTTTTTAAAAACAAAAATAAAAAAGATAATAATATTTTATTTCAGTATTTTTATTTAATTTAAAAAGTTTTTTTATATATTTTTAGACTACATTTAAAATAGTTAGATTAGTAATTTATTTATCTAGACATATTATAACTATATCAAAACTAAAAAAAATATATCAGATAGATCTTAATATTAAAAATAGTTAAAATAATTAAATTAATTATTTGATTTTTAGTTATACTGTAATTAGATATAAAAAATTTCTTAATCTGATTATAACCTGGCAGTTAGATATAAAAATTCTAATTAACCTGATCTGATCTGGCTGTTAGCCACTCTAATTCAGCTTTATAATATTTTAATTAATTCTAATTTTTAAAAAAATTTTCAGAGTTAGTATTATGTATTTTATTTTATTTATATAATTTAACTTATAATTAATATTTTCCTATAAAAACTTCGGATTAAGATTTTTAACAATACTATTTAAATATATATAAAAATATTATAACAAAAGTCTTAAAATCTTTTTTAATATTTTAAAATTTTTTAAAAAAATATATTCTAAAAGTTATTTATAAAAGATTAATATAGACAGCTTCTAATATAAATAGTAGAAACTGTCTATATTCGCTTTTTTTGAAATAGTTTTTAAAAATATTTTTTTAGTAATAGCTTATCATACTAACTTTTAATTATAAATTTAAAAAGTTATATAATTTATAATATAAGCTTTGAATATTATAAGAAATTTCAGCTTATTTAATAGTTTAAATTTAAATTAGTTTATTATCTTTTCTAAAATTATAAACTCTATTAAAATTTAATCTATTTTATAATTCGCCGAATATATAAATTTTATTGAATAATCAAAGATTTTATTCAGTATTATCAATATAATAATATTAATTATTTTTATTTTATTATAATTAAATAAAAATAAATAGAATATCTTCTTAAGTTTTTATAATTTTCTTTTATATTTTATTCATCTAAAAATAGTAAATCTATTATTTATAAAATTTATAATATTTATAATAATCTTTTTAATTATTTAGATTATTTAATTAATCAAATAGTAAGAAAATAGGCGTTCTAAAAAAAGAAGATTTCCCCGAATCCATGTTGTTCCCCGCTCCAGGACAACGCAGTATCGCAACGAAATCAGTTCAGAATTACCTTCCTTACTCATGGTTTTGTCGCTTCCATGCCTGACCTTGTCAAAAAGAGCTTGATCCACAGATATCGCGAATCACTTGATCGGGCCCACGTCGCCCGGGGATTTAGTCGCCTTCTCAGCCTTCACTCTATTGCTGACTACGACCTTTTCGCTACCATATGGCACTTTACACGTGGTCCCGGGGCCGATCTGGGACAATATGTTACACAACAGCGGTATTCGCGTCGATACGTCCAGCTTTATAACGAACTTCAAAAAGAGGACCAGCAGCCCCCAAAGATCGAGAAGGATGAAAAGGACTACTTTCCCGATTAGGGTCTCAGATATACAAAGCAAAGTAGCTGACGATTACGTCAGAATGGAAAACTCAGTATACCGTCGACAATCCGCCAACACGGCTTCGTAAAGACATGCTTGTCGCCGGCCCCAAGCTGTGGCATTGGGTCCTACAATTCATGCGAGAATGGGAAGACATACGATGACTGATCGTTTATGCAAGCAAGAAACCGCGTAAGAATTTCCGCGGGCGAGACCGTTGATGCGAGCGAGGCCTTTCATGCGAGCAAGGCCTCGCAGTTGCGAATTACGGCAGAGAACGATTTCGTGATCAAGGCTACTTGAGCAGCCGATCAGCGTGCTTGGAAGGTTGTGAAATCCACCAATCAGCGCAGCTAATCACTCGTCCCTCGATGGCCTATCCCTATAGGGCTCAGCACATACTGAGTTCGGTGCGTTGCGATAGGTGCTCTTGGCACTGTTTTCACGATGGCCTCGCTTTCTCTCGACTACTTTCATGATTGAGCTACTCGGTTCAGTGCGTTACGATTGTAGTTTTTCGCCACTGCCGTCGATCTACCGCCTTCTATCTTCCTTGTACCACTTTCTATCCAGGAATGATCCGAACTCGAGTATAGGTTGTGTACTGAGGTGCCCCGAGGATGTTGGTCAACGTGGCCCGGTTGAGGCTAGGAGGGGGTCTCGTACATGGCAGGAATCAACCTGTATAAGCCCCGGTGATCAGTCGAATGGGGACAGAAGCTCAAGGGCTCACTGCCTTTCATGACGGAAGCCGTCAAACACTTGTAACCGGCCTGCAAAGGTGACCGTGACCTGCCGCCACTCTGCCTATGGCTGACATATGCGTGTATGAATCGATCAATCAATCAATTTGAGGGTCATTAGCGAACAACACTCAGAGGATGAGATTCAGCTGGCAGATATGGAATTATTAATCAAGACCTCACTGACAATCGTAAAGGACCTCACTGGCAATCGTAACGGACCTCTTTGAGTACGTGCATCGCAATCACGATGTGTTGAGGTAGGATCTCAATCGAATGCGCTCAACCAACGTTCCTTTTTTTTTCTTTTTCCGCAATGCAGTGGCAAGTCATCATTCCGATAATCTTCGCCGCCCTGGCCTTCTGGTCGATTTCACTTCTCGACTTCTACACGGCTTACTTAGTTCGAATGACACTCGAAAATGTCGGTACTCAGCCAATGTGGAAGAACATTAGGAGGATGCATCAGAAGGGTACCTAGGTCCTACTCGTGAGAAGACTGATATCATTCATATACCGAAGTAGAATTTCCGTTGCGCGTGGCATCATCTATCTCATCAATTAGACATTAAGTTGGGACTAATTCCCCTGCGATCCTATAAGCAGAGGGCAAAATAGATCAAACAGATAGGAAAAATGAGAGAGGAATGAAAAGAGATGAAGTCAAAATCAATGCAAACAGATGGAAGAGAACAACCCCGGAGGACTTCTAAGAAAATTTAATCTTCCGCATTCACCCGCGCGGAAGTCCCATGATTGGTTTATTTGCAAAGATGGCACGCACGTCAGAGATGTTGCGAAAAGTAGGAGGCTCTGGGTCCTCTGGGGATGACACCACGATCACCACTGATGATGACATGTTTTTTGGGGAAGGGTCCGAGGATTCCCTTGGAGGAGAAGGTATAGGTTGAGGGGTAGATGGAGGCTTGATCGTTTCATCTGGTGTCGGTGATAGAGTGCTTGGTTGGGGAGAGTTACACGACTCGCTTGGGGTGGAAGACATGATTTGAGGGGCAGATCGAGGCTCACTCGTCTGCTCTGAAGAGGGTGATGAAGTTGCTGCTGGGGACGAGTCAGAGGGCTCTCTTGGTGGAGACATGGGTTGAGAAGTAGACAAGGGTGCAATCGTGAGAGAAGAATTCGAAGCCTGCCTTGGAGCAGACATAGGTTCAGAAGTAAATGCTTGCTCTGGAGGCGGCGATGACACGGTTGGTGAGGAAGGGGTCGAGAGCTCTCTTGCAGGATATGTAGAAGTAGACGGAGACATAGTCCTTTGCTCTGAGGGTAGCAATGGAGGGGCTACTGGGGACGAGTCCGAGGACTCGCGTGAAGGTGATATAGGCTCAAGGGCAGTCGAAGGTAAAGTCGTCCACTCTGGACGCGAAGTTGAAACAGCTGCCGATAAACAGTCAGATGCCTCCCCTACAGGGGACATAGGTTGAGTGGACAGAGGCTCAATTGTCTGCTCTGGAGGAGGGGATGAAGCGGTTGCAGGGAACGGGCCCGAGGACTCCCCCGGAGGAGAAGGTGATCCAGAGGTAGACGGAGGTGCAGGCTTCTGCTCTACAGGCATTGATGGAGAAAGTCGGTCCTGTAGAGTCGTGCTACCCCGAGATGATTCGACTGATGCTCGTGATCCTCCGGAGGAAGCAGGAGGCGAGGCCGGCGGACTGGGAGGTTCAGAAACCGGGAGCTTTGGTGGTCTTGGTGGGCCAGGCCAAGCTGATAGCGTCGGAGTCCGAGCCTCATCATCGACAGCTGAAGAAGACGGCCGTGGTGGTAGAGGTGGAGGTGTATCCTCGTCGTCAATAGCCGTTGAAGACGGCCGTGGTGGTAGCGGCGGACGCTTTTCGCGCTCTGTCGTGGGTGCAGAATCGGCCGAGTCCCAGAAATCTGCCTCATACAATGATGGGTTGGGAGACACATAAATAGGATTTAGTACCCATGGGTGGTGTTTGTGTTCTGTCATCTCTTGATGATGGTCATCCGGTTGCGTCAATGGGGACGTGACGATGGTTGCTGAGGGTGTCTCCCTAGTAGCAGGAGCAAGGGGGCCATTCGCCTGGTTCTCCTGCTCCTTCTTGTCGCCGCTAGACCAAAACCAAGACTTGAAATTGACACGAATAAATTGCTTCCGAGGCTCATTAGTCTGTGGGTTTGCATGTTGCACTTTGTGCACGGCGTCGGGGAGTCGACCTACTCTGCCGTTTCCCAGGATTTTGTGCGTAGCCTTAGAGACCTCCTTCTCCCAGCGCATCCAGCCATCAATTCTGTTTCTCAGGAGCTTCCAGCTCTCGTACATCTCCGAGCCTTTAGGATGCCGCTCAACTTGCTGGTCGACCCGGTCGCGCAGGGCGTTGACGCAATTCTGTAAGTCTTTCTGCAGTCTTTTCATCGCCGCTACGGAGTCACTGAGTTGCCGGGCATTCTCTGGATCCACTTGGCTTCTCAAAAGATAAAGCTTTGAGCTAACAACCTCATGCACCAGGCCGTATCGTTCGATGATAATCTCGATATTGCGATCAATGATCTGGTACTCGTCATGTGAGTCAGTGGCCTGGCGGATTGAGCGGTACACCTCCTCCCGCGTGCCTTGTAACCACCGTTCGAGCTCCCCTGGAGTCACCTCCAAAGGACAGCGCGAGGCAACGTCTGTGATCGTACACAAAAGTTCCTTAGTGCACACGGCGGCGGCCAGTGACGCGTAGGCATGCCAGCCATCGTACGCGTGACCGTCACAGTACTCGGAGATCCCGCACACCGTGAGGCAGGAGACGGTCTCCATGATGGCGTGTGCTTCCGTCTCATAGCAGAGAATCCCGAGCAACCCGGCATATTCATCGCGGCGACAGGCGTCTTTCATAGCACTTTCCGCCGAGCCAACCCCGCCCTGGTGCACTTTGACTGAGTCCTCTCTGTTGCGAGACTCGCGGGGGCAGATGGAGCCCAGGGCTTGGACCTTAGCGCTCAAGCAATCACAATGGCTTGCGCAGTGGGTGTAACCAGCCGAGTAGAGTCTATCTTGCGTTGGTCGAGACAGAGAAGGCGATCCAATGTTCTCGATGGTTTCGTGTAGCGCTAGCCCCTGTCGCAACTTGGATTCCAATCGGGTCATTGCACTCTGAAGAATGGCCGGGGGCGTGGCGATCCGACTGATTATCTCATCACCGTCAACCGTCACTTTTCGCTTTTGATATGGGATCACTTGGGTTCCATAGACCACGTCTCCCAAGCGAATATCATGTTTATTGGAGGGGGCACCGCCGCCGGTCCCAACAAGAAGCATAAACCGGATGCCCGGGAACGTGCTTCGCATGTCAGATGCGATATTCGCCGCGCGGGACTGGCCGTAGATGCCTGAAGCGGGGCAATTCATGACCACGAGATGATCGCCAATGCGTCCGATGACATAGCTATTGTTGTCGTCCCGGCCACGGATAAGACGCGTTGAATCATGGATTTCGTCGAACATCTTGACCGCTTCGTAGTATTCGCTTGGGTGTATGCATATCCAGCCAATGAGGTACTTGAGCTGGGATATTGTTGCCTCGTGTGGGCTTGGTTTGAGTCGTGACATCTTAATTGTAGATATGAAACTTCAGAAGAGGTGCATGAGAAGGGGATGTCTCAAGAAATGGGAAGGAACGGAGGGGGTGGGTGAGGTTGTTATATGTCCGAAATCCACTCGGTTCATCCCCAAAAAGAGTTTGTTGACCAAGTCAAGCACTACTGCGAGAAATTGACCAAGGCAGTCAGTGCCCTTGGCTACAATGGCTCAGTGCTGTCCCTTTCCTTGAGTGGTGTGTTGACAAAAAGCAAACATGGGGCGAAGTGCTGCACACCATATGCATGGACGGGGTCTCGCTCTCCGATCGACCCTTGGGCCGCACGCATCCAGCTAAAGAGTCACCATTCTTCTCAGGCAGACATTCAAATAACCTAATCCTGATGCTTATCTGCGTCATTTGAACTCTGAATCTCGCTGCCTATTATGTTACCTTTGTTTGGGGGTTTCAGCTGGGAACCGTGCCGGTCGAGATTAGACCCTGCGAGTGTCTTCAATACCATCCTTTCTCAAATCAAAAGTCCATGCACTGCACAATCAGTAGTCCATCTAAGCCCCAGCTCGAGTCTCCTTGCAGGAACGACAACCCTCAATTATGGGCATTCGCAATGTGCTGCTGGGTGACGTAACTCTGAGAGTATTGTTGGGAATTATTGTTCAGCAAATTGATGATGCCGACGATGGTCTTGATGGAATGACAGTCGCTATGGCCAGCTCTCTCCGTTTGTATCTGGTGGGGTTCGCACTTGTTGCTCTCAGCCACATTCTTGGTTCGGGTCCTACGCCTGCACAGGGCGTTGCGGCTGTCGCATGCGCCTCGCTGAACAAACAAAGATGTCAGTGAGTGAATTTTATAGAGCAACCGGTTACCAAGTCTTCCCCCTCCTTGCCGATCTTTTGGGAAAGATAGTCTCGTACCTGCAGTCTCTCTAGGCATCGAAGTACAGAGCGAATAAGCTAGTTTGAGAATGATAACGACCACCACGGACCTACGCTTTTTCCTCGTTAGCCGCCGCCGAAAGAAAAAACGATCGCATGACCGCTAGATCATCAAGAACGACTTACTTGTGACTGCAGTGGATTCTTTCGGGGCATAAGAAGGGATTCAGGTGAATTAAAGGTGAGAATGGCTGTAATTAGCCTTTCCGGGTCCCATGCAAAACTCATCGAGAGAAGACAGTAAGAGATAGTGATTGGACTCCGTCAGCCAGATTGGTTGCTTTTCAGGTGGTCAGTGGTGTCCTTCCCCTTAGAGAAATGAACCAGACTTAAGTAACGCTCAAAAAGGTTAGTTGTGCGAGAAAAAAAGCAAAGGAATCAGCCACAACGAATCAGAAAATTCAAGCAAGCCGGGGATAGAACCAGGCTCGAGAGCACAACCCGCGACTAATGCTGCACGAAGCAACAGGGGTCTATCCAAATCATATGCTATAGCGTTCTGATGGATTCGTTCCCGGCGCCAAAGCCACGTCAATGCCCGATAAGGATGTCGGGCGAAATCCCCAAGAATAGACTAGTGTCAACTACCTTACCAGTTCTTTCACTGCAATGGAGGATCTCAAGGTGCCGTTGACCTCACTGGGGACACCAACTCACCGTTCTTCCTTCCCACTTCAGTCCCTTGAAAACGACCCTTGAGGTGCACAACACCAGGATTTTCGAGTTCAGAAAATAGTTGATGTTTTAAGCAGAGTACCTCCACTTCCTGGTAAATCGCCCTTCACTTTCTCGACACCAAGATGCAGCTCCATCGTCCTTTTCCATCCTCTGAGTGTCTTAGCGGGATCTTCAGCTCCTGGTCGGTCATGGGAGACTGTCTCAGCCATTGTGTTGATACCGGGCCGTTCATCCCAAATAACTTAGCCTCCAGGCTACAATCCACCATCTTCACGCTCCGAGAAGAATTCCTTATCGAATTGGCGGGGAGGGAGAGTGCTGGAGGAGTTGCCCATCCTAAGGGTTCTAGTTGGTGACGGTGAGGTTTTTACATTTAAACCGTCCATTCCCTCCGTACATTCGTACACTCGTATATTCGTATGTTCGCTCATTCGTATACCCGCATACTGGTCGCCTCCACCTCACAAATAATTCCACCCCAAGTATAACGCAAAACACATTCAGTTCATATTCTTGAGACATAATCTCGTTACATATTACGAGATCAAGGTTTGAGATCTGAACACAAGATAATCAAGCCATATCCCAAAGGAAATCTGAAACGTAAGTAGGCATATCGTAGTCCGATGTTCTTCTATAAGTCCAAAAAAAAAAAAAAA